CTCCGGGGCAGGCAGGAATCGAACTCATGCGGAAGTGGCTTTAGCTTCCCAGTGCAGTGCTTTAATCTGCTGCGCCACCAGGGAGGGCCAGGACTTCCAAGTTTAAGTCTAGTAAAAGTGAGGAGTGGGTATCTTTGTTTTTTTCTGACCTTAGAAAAAAATGCTTTCATCTTTTTACCATGGAGTGTGAACTGTGGGGTTGTAATGTGTGGCATTTATTATGTGGAAGTATGATCCACTATATCCAGTTTGGTGTTAGTTTTTATCATAAATGCAAAGTTTTTCAAATGTTTTTTCTACATCTATTGAGATGATCATATTATTTGTATCCTTCGTTTTGTTAATAAGGTGTATTACATTGATTTATAGATGTTGAAAGATCCTTGCCTTCCTGGAATAATTCCACTTGATCATGGGATTTATTGATCTAACGTGTTGCATTTGGTTTGCTAATAACTTTGTTGAGGATTTTTGGTATCTGTTCATCAGGGATATTAGTTGTAACTTTTTTGTCTGTGACATCCTGTTCTGGATTTGACATCAACGTAATGCTGACCTTGTCTATTGAGTTTAGAAGCATTCCCTGCTCTTCTAAATTTTGGAATTTTAGGAAGGATTGACAGTTGCTCTTCTTTAAATGTTTAGTAAAATTAACCACAAAGCCATCACTTCTGCACTTTTGTTGGGAACTTTTTGGTTATCAATTCAATGTCCTTACTGGTAATTAGTAAGATTTTCTATTCATGGGTCAGTCTTGGTAGTTGTATATTTGTAAGAATTTATCCATTTTTTTCTAGTTTGCCAAACTTTATGGGCTGCTAGTTATTTGTTTTTAAGGCCTTAGTTTTCAAAGCAGAACCTCTCTGAAACTTCCCTAACTTCTTCCCCTGGATACTGGTTTAAGTACTTCTTTTTATAAGCCTATTCATCTTATATTTGTGCTGACACTGCAGTTAGCACACTGACACTACCATATGTCTCAAGAGTATGGGAGGGACATACTGCAGTGGTAATCATGTAAAGTGTTCACATAAACACTTATTGAATAAAAACTATGAGCCCTATCTAGTTAGCTAGAGTAGGTAAAGTGTTTTATTC